ATGCTAAACATTTCCTGCAGGCAATCAATTCCAAGCAGTAAGACAATAAATGAAACCACATGGCAACGTTGAAGTACTCTGTACCAGTCCCTGAATCTGCAAAAAAGAAAAAGAAAAAGAAATGCCAGCATAACATTTGTATCCCAATCCGCTTTAGTATGGAGGCTGGTGAGTGAGAAATAACCGAATCTCTTGGGGTAAAGTGGGTTGAGTAAATATAGGCAAATGTTTGGAATAATATGTTTATCTGTTTATCAGGAAACTCAACTAACAAATCACAGGTTGGAGATGCTCCAGGTTATTTCTAAACATAAGCCTAGTCCTGTCCTAAATGAGTGCTAAACCCATACTTTAAAATGGTCAGGTTAACTTGTTGCAGACACAAAGGAATGGCATGAGATGAAGCTGAAAGAACAAATAAGTGTTTGTTTTGAGCAAATTCTTTTTTTAAATTGTGTTACAAGAAGACAGTAATGCTTCCTCATAGTTGCCAGCATTTAGGAGGAATTTAGGGCTGCCATGGAGCCGGAAAACTAAAAGGGATGACCATGAAAATCCTCTATTAGATGAAACAGCAGAAAATCTGCAATATACACATAGTGGTCACAGAAAGAGCAGCACACAAGAGCCTGGGTCTTCTTCCCAGTTTAACTTTTTGTGCAACACGGGATTAGTATCCTTCCTAGAGAATACTAGCCCTGACTCTTAAATGCAAGACTAGCATTTCATCAAGAGAATCCTAGATTTGTGCTTATAAAAGAGTGTTGGAAGAACAGCAATCAGATGAAGACTGCACCGGGACCAAAAAGAGTTAATTCTATACCATGTACTTTCATGAAGAAAGTCAGCAATATAATATAATCTTTTCTCTCTCAGTTCTCACAAAGAGCTCTCTGCTGTCCTGTACAATCAAGAACTTAAATGTTCTAATTTGTAATGATGTAACCTATAAAATGATGCTAAATTACATTTTATGCAACTATCTCTTACCAATAAGCATCCTGCAATTGACAATATCTCTGCCAATAAGTAATGGGGTACAAATAACAAGTAATCGGGGGGGGGAGGATTTTTTTGGTTCATTCCCAAGATGGCTGCTGAACTCAGAGGTAAGTGACTGTAAATATATTAAACCAGTGGTGGGTTACGACTGGTCCGCCCCAGTGGGGGCGTACCAGTGCCTGCCGGGAGCACCAGGTACTGTTCCAGTATGGTGCT